TCATGGATAAGAAAACATGCCTAGAAAGTCAGCAGAGAACATGGCTTTATTCACCCTTCTATACAGTTCCTCTCCTGGAGATCTGCATGCCATTTGCCATTAAGAGGCAAGCTGAATAGCATTGCAGTTGTCCCAACTTGATTTTGAGCTACTACTCTTGCAGAAATCACATTAGGAAGGATGTGACTATAGACAATTGGAGTAAATGACTGTCATGTTGAATGGAGCATGCTGAGACTTTTATCTGTATAAAATGCACAGCACATATGGGGTTTAGTGGATGACAAGCAATAACAAAGACCAGATAAAATGTTTTTCCCAGTGCAGCAAAAGGTTTTAAATTTTGCAATGTTAAATTTTGACGTCGTACCAAATTCTGAATTTATGACAAGCTTTATGGTAGAACTCTTCTAACTCTGGTTCATATTTTGAAATGTGAATTTCAAATGCCAGAATATGGACTCTTATATGTATCTCCAAAGCCTGAGAAATGCAGTTTTTGTTTTGTTTGACTTTGGGTGCAGTTTTTATTTTGTTTTGTCTTTGGGTACAATAGTTGGGCTGCCCAAAATAATTTGGGGGATCATGGTTTCGGAGTCCCAACTCCATGGTCCTGTGACCTTGTGCTGAGACGCCAAATGCCAAGCCCCCCACACCGAACCCTTTACAGCTGATGCAGAAAGAAGCACACTTGCTGCATTGCTGAGGTTGCAAATGGTCCTCAAAATGCATGAAAAGAGACATGGCACCAGGGGCAGGGAGGGGAGAAAGCTGGGCCAGTTGTTTCCTATCAGTGCTCCAGGCTGTTTTTGTTGCTTTAGCATCCCTTGCTAGCCTCAGTTCAGTCCTAGCTTCAGCGTTCCTGATGCCTTCCTGCAATTCCATGCTACCTGCATGTATTCCTTTGTAGCTTGGCCTTCCTTCCAAGGCATGTCCCTTTTTGTTTTCAGATCATTTCTAAATTCTTGTGAAGTTGCATAGCTTCTTCTGTTGTCTTCTACCCTTTTTCCTTGTTGTAATTATTTGTAATTTTGACTTTAGAGTTTCTTTTTTTCTCACCCATTTTTGGACTCCTTTTCTCCTTAGAATCACTTGCCGTAAGATTTTACTGATCATTTTTCTGGATTTATTAAAATTGGCTTTCCTAAAACCCAAGGTACATATTTGGTGACATTTGGCTTTTGCTTCCTTTAGAATCAAGAATTCAAGTATGGAATGGTCAATTTCCACCAGTTTCCATAGCTGCCACTTTGTCCATTAGGTCTCCCCTGCTGGTTAGTGTCAGGTCAAGGATAGCTGTTCCTCCTGTTCCTTCCTCCACTTTTTGTTGGAGGAAGTTATCAAAAACACATATTAGCAATCTCATGGAGGGGTATGTTCGGCAGAGTTTGTCTCCCAGCAGATATCCAGGAAATTGAAGTCCCCCATAATGACAATATCATGACTCCTTGAAACACTGTCAATTTGCTTTTCAAAAATTGCATCCTCATTTTCTCCTTGACTGTGTGGTTGGTAATAGACTCCAATCACTGTGTTCCTTTTATTCCTTGCTCCATTTTTATTAGTCCAGAAATAAAATATTTGGGAAGCATTTTATTGCCAAAATAAAGGCCAGGAACAGACTCCAGTAGTGACCATGAACTATTAATATCAAAGTAAAGCTGGAAAAGGTCACCGGCAGAAGCACAGTGACAAAATACAACTTACATAACATTCCTGAGGAATTTAAACTCTGCATTACAAACATAAAGACACAGAAAGAATTTATTTTGAAGCAGAAGAGCATCAGACTGAATGCAAAATGACAATTCTTATAGCAAGAGGAGGAGGAAGAGAAGAGAAGAGAAGAGAAGAGAAGAGAAGAGAAGAGAAGAGAAGAGAAGAGAAGAGAAGGAAAGGCAAGACCTAGATCAGTGATTCCCAGTGAGCAGTACTTCCCCACTGGGGACAGTGGAAAGATCAAAGGGGGCAATGTTTGTTTGTTTAACATTTGCAGTAGAGCAACAGACATAATAGAAAGAAAGACACTTCTAGGGTTGTTGTCCAAGAAGAAAGGGAGTGGCAGCCCCAAAAAGTTTGGGCACCACTGGCCTAGACGGATGACAGAGGAAACTCTCTCATTCGTAGAGGTCAGGCAAAAAGCAAAAGTAAAAGTTGACAGCAACTGGATCTGAATACAGAATGCAACTTTTCAGAAACTATCACATTAAAAAACATTATTACAATGGCCAGGGCAAAGAAATAAAAGAGAACAACCCAAGAGGAAAAAGAAGAGTCCTCTTCCAGAAGATTCAAGAAATCAAAGGGAAATACAAATCTTTGTTAGGAATGCTGAAAGGCCAACAGAGGACATATTTACTGACCATAGGAAATGGGGAAAAATATACAAGAGAACTATACAGAAAAGATGAAAGGATGACAAATTCCTTCAAAGTGCAATCCTATGAGAAACAAACTGTTAGAAAATAAAGTAAAAGTGAATGCTCAATATATATTTCATTTCCAAGTTAATGAGTACAGAAACTATAGCAGTGATGGTGAACCTATGGCACACGTGCCACAGTGGGCACACAGAGCCCTCTCTGTTGGCATGCAAGCCAAGTTGCCGCAGCAGCGCTCCAGCAGCCGAGCATCGGATAACAGTGCACACAGGGGCCATGCGCATGCTCGGAAAGGAGTGGTGGTGCCAGGTGATGACATCACAAGCTGCGACGCATTAGCCACGACTCATCTGAGCTTTCGCATGGCTGGTCAGTGTACTGCCACGGATATATATATATTTGCTTGGACTGGCTGTGAGGTGTTTTTTGTAAACGAAACCCTCAGTTTTCAGGTTTTATAGCAGTGTTGGCACTTTGCAATAAATAAGTGGGTTTTGGGTTGCAGTTGGGGCACTCGGTCTCAAAAAGATTCAGCATCACTGGGTTAGGGTTAGCAAAATGAGGTGTCCTGGTATGATTGTGATGGTTAGAATGGTTCTGCACAGCAGAAATTATGAGCTGTGCAGAAAAAGCTAGTCAAGGAAGGCTTTTTCAAAATTGTTCTATTATCAGTGGAAATTTACCCCTATATTAGGGTTAGGGGAGTGCACCAGGACAGGCTTAGGGTTAGAAAAACAAGGTGTCCTGGCATGGTTTTGTTGGCTGGAATGTGTTTAGAATGGGCAGAAATGTTGAGCTGTGCAGAAAAAGCTACTGAAGGAAGGCTTTTTCAAAATTGCCCCCTTTTCAATGGAACTTTTGCCCTATATTAGGGTTAGGGGTGTGCACCAGGGTAGGGTTAGGCCAGTGGTTGAGAACCTATGGCACACTTGGCAATGACATCACAAGCTGCGACTCATGAGCCGCCACTCATCCGAGCTTTCACATGGCCGGTCAGTGCACTGCCCAGGATATATATACATATATTTGCCTGGACTGGCTGTGAGGTGTTTTTTGTAAACTAAAATGTTATTTTTCAGGTTTTATTGTAGTGTTGGCACTTTGCGATAAATAAGTGGGTTTTGGGTTGCAGTTTGGGCCCTCGTTCTCTAAAAGGTCCACCTTCACTGAACTATAGGATCATTGGACTAATTTCTAATGCAAGTTGTTATACCAAATAATCTTGCTCTACAAGTAGTGAGAAATGTCTCTTGTTCAAAATAAATTCAAATAGAAAAGAAGCACTTGAAATCATATTGCAAATATATTCAGGCTACTGGGGAGAATCAAAGAATTTCAGAAAAGATCAGTCTATCAATTGATAGGCTACAGCAAAGCCTTTAACAGTGTGGAGCATGAGAAGCTATGGATGGTTCTGAAATAAATGGGTGTGTCTCGATTGTCCTGATGCACAACCCATATTGTGGACAGACAGGGCTGTATTTTATCTCCCTTTCTGTTCAAATTGTATGTAGAACATAATAAAGAAAGTTGGATTAGGATCAGAGGAAGGAGTGAAAATTGATGGATGATGCATCAGGACGTCTGGTGAAAGTGAAAAGAAGAAATGCAAAAACAGGACTGCAGCTGTATATTAATGAACACACATCAAGATTAAAGAAGAATTACACATCTTGAAAGTCAACAATGGAGTAATGAAATGGTGAAAGATTTTACATACCTTGGCTCAGTCATCATTTCCTACGGAGATTGAAGTTAAGAATTTAGATGAAGCTTGGGAGTTGGAAGGGCAGCAATGAAGGAACTAGAAAGATCATAAAGTCTAAGGATGTTTCACTGGACATCAAGCCATCCACTGTATTTTATTCCCGGTCACTGTGTATAGGTGGGAAAGTTAGGCAGTGAAGAAAGATCATCGGAAGAAAACCGATGGGCTGGAGGAGAATTTTGTGAATATCCTGGACAGAGAGAAGATGAACAAGTAAGTCCTAGATCAACTCAGGCCAGAACTTTCCCTAGAAGCCAAAATTTCCTTGAAAATATTGTTCTTTGGCCTTTTCAGGAGAATTCAATGGAAAAAGCAATAATGGTAGGGAAAGCTGAAGGCAGAAGAAGACGAAGATGAAACATGAGACAGATTGATTCTACAAAGGAAGCTACAGCTTCAAGTTTACAAGAGCTGAGCAGGGAAAGGACTGGACATTTTGGAAGACTTTCAATCATAGGGGTGCCTAGGAAGATGATGTGATGGCATGTAAGAGCAACAACCAATAACTACACACTTGTATTTGGTACAGCAATGAGATTTGAAACAGGACAGTTAAATGGTAATTGGATAAGATTGATCATAAAATGAATGTGATTCTCCCACTATGGGAGGAGAAATGGGAGGAGGCACAGATTACTGCAGCCTCCTCTCCTCTCCTCTCCTATTTTCTTTTCTTTTTGTGTTAAAGCCCATATCTTTGTAAAATTATCTTCATTTACTGTGAAAGCACTGTGTCTACAATATTCTTTACTGGGAAATGAGCTTAAATTCTCTGCTCATTTTAAAGTTTGTGTGTGTGTGTTGTCCTCAATGCACATACTGAGTAGTTTATGTCACTGGGAATTACTCACATTTTAGACCATTTGTCAAGTTCTTCTTCCAAGTAAGTTTTAATTTTCTTTGGCTGAAGGCCAAGAGAGTTACCAGCAAAGTAGATGCAGTCTTCATTTTCATTCACTAAAACTGGATCAGCTGAAATGGGGAAAAATCCAAGAAAGCCATTAAAAATACTGTCACTATCCTTCCTATAAAATGTTACACATAGAAGGTGACAGATTCAAAGTTGATGAACCCAGCACATGACCATTAGATTGTTATATTGCAGTGATAAGTCTCTGATACACAAATCTGGGATGTACTTTCAGACAGATTAAAATCCACATAACCTGTACACGCCCAGTATCACCATATAAACAGCTCTATTCCCTCTATTCATTAAGTATACACATCATAACATTTACATGGGACAGTTCCATGCCTGTACAAATTTGGAAAATATATCAGCTGTGTAAAAGCACAGTAACAGCAAATACCACGGGGAAAACATTAGATCAAGAATGTAGGAAATCTACCAAAGGAGCCCCACTTGAAGCATTAGATGGCTTCTATTATTAATATTAGTATCACAGCTTGACTTTTATTCAGCACTAAGGGTATGCTTGATGCTATACATCACAAAGATTTGACACCGTCCCTACATTTAAATATAAAACTGTATGTGCAAGGAGTTGATGCTGTCAGTGAAACCAAACCGTCAAGCTACAGGATGATATAAGTTCTGTCAGCAATGCCCAGCTCATCTACATTGCAAGAGAAGATGGAGGTCTGTCACAGGTAATGTAGAGAGTACTATCAGTGAAATGTCAGGGCAAATTTCTCCCAGGACAGTGCATTCTTGCGTGTTTGCTTCGAGCAGATATGGGAAACCTGTGGCTTCCGGACATTTTGATCTACAAACCTCATCACCCCTACCACTGATCATGCTGGAAAAGAGAAAGTGGCTACCCAAGCTCCCTGTGGTGCAGACAGAATTCAAGATTACTTTGGTAGACTGCCATCACTCCTTTACATTCATCTCAGCCTGAACCAGTTGGCTCCACAATCTTTCAGAACACTGTGGGGAGCATAGAAATAAAGGCTCTAGCCAATACCATCTATTTTAAACCCCATTACATTGTGGTAAGTAGATTTGCAGAAAGTAGTGAACTTAGTATTAAGGATTACCTGGAAGAAAATACAAACATCTCGAGATAGATGAAAGTTTATTCAGGCCAGGGAACACATCAAACAGTATACAGAAATCACAGAGTAGTATGAACAATACTCCAGGGAAAAACAAAGCTATTTCTGAGTCTCTCCTGTACATTATTGAAGTAAATAATGTAATGAAGTAATGGAGATTTCCTCACAGGCAAGGATCGGAGTTAAGGAACCAAGAATTTGCAAGCCTGAAGACAATTTAACACAGGTGGATGACGATTACTGGGCATCTCTCAGTCTTTCTGTTTTATCTTCAGGTCCCTGACAGCTCCAGGAAAATCTGCCATAACCAGTCATGGGTCAACTTCAGCAGCATTTCTGAAAACTAGAAGGACATGAGGAACTTTCCTCAAGGAAACACAGGTGAAATTTGTCAAACCAATTCACAAAGTTTAACTTTGACCTTGAAGACTGGACCTGCACAGACTATCTAAAGGGAACAAATTCACAAGCCCCTTGCTATGACTACGTGTTGTTTTGTTTTGGTTTGGCCAACTAGAGAACATTCCCATCAGTAAAGACATAAAATGAAAATTCTGACATGATATAGTTGTCAGAGTACAAAAGCAAAACTGAATTTTCTGGAAGAAATAAACTGGTAAAATGAGGAACCCAGATGCTGATATACTCAGACAAAAGAAGAGTAATAGTAATCAAATAAGACCACTCAGATAAGAAAAGGATTCAAGGTGGAAGTAACAGGCTTCTGCCAGCCCCCTTCTGCCACTGTTTGTCAGGATCCAAGCCGGTGCCTTTTTCTGGAAGGGAGTTACCAGCATTCATGAAATTTAATTCCAAATTTTAAACTGCAACAACAGCTAAGAAACAAAAACAAATGTATTTGTAGATGTATTTATAATGTAGTTTAGTTTCCTAGAAATATAATTAATACATAATTTTTGTATATACTTTTTATAGCCTATACCCAGTATTAGTCCATTCCCTAAGCTACAAGCCTATTTTTATACTTTTATCATATCGTCATCATGAAATGCCTGTGGGCAATGAGAATTTGTAAAAAAGGAAGACAGCTGTTCAAAATGTTTTCTTCTTACAGGGTAAAAAAGACATCATGTCCATAAATCAGAGTTCAAGAGAGGTGATTAAGTCTTTACAATCATCTTTAAATCTGTATGGTGTTGGTTTCCGCCACAGGTCATAGGGTATGGTGTCCCATTTATTGGCAAAACACATTTTTGCATGTATCAGCCATTGATAGCTTGTAGTATAATGTGTACAAGTGGACAGCTTGAGCAAATGTATTAAAATTTACATAAAATACTTATTATACAAATAAGGCATAATAATGAGTTTACATTTGTCTGAAGCAATTTCATTTCAGGGCTGTAGGAAAACAGATTAAATAACTCCAAAGCTCTTCAGACTAGGTTTCTGTGATATTACTTTGAATTCAGCCACTAATGCATTTGCCAGAATAAGAGACAACCAACATAACTTCTTAATTAAAGCTTTAAAGGCTTTTAAAAAGCCTAAATCACAAGAGCAGTTTCAATCTAATCTATATTACTGAAGCTTCTGCTGTTTTTCATCAGCTTCCCTTCTAAAATGAGCAATAACCGAGGTGTAAATATTATTCACACTTCCAAATTGGTTCTGTTCACAGGCCTTTGTTATCCTGAAGGACAATAATAGAGTCTCATTGAGATTAGAAGAAGCAAGTCTTTTATTTGGGTCTCAGAACAGTAAATTTCACCAGGACTCCTTCAATTCCAGTCAAGCATTAGAAGAGGTAATGAGTTAAAAGCTAAAGGAGCATACCCATTCTCCTTTTTCTATCTACAGGCATAAAATACAAACTGCTAAAACATATAGAAGCTGTTTTCCCTAAAATGCACTGTTGCTTTGTTACCCACCCAACTGTACAACCAGCAGGCTCATACTGGAACAGAAACTTTTTTCTTCATAAAGTATTACTTTTTGTTCTTTTCTTGCAACCTGAATATGCAATTTTATTCCCCAGCTGCCACAAGATGTGTTGTTTGTCCTTTCCATTAAAGGTAAGAGGAGGTACAATGGAAGTGTAAAAAATTGTGCATGGTGGAAGAAGTGGATAGGGATACATTTTTGCCCTTTTCTCATAATGTGAGAACATGGATTTCTTCCACAGAGTTTATTGGTGGGAGATTCAGGACAGATAAAATGAAGTATTTTCCCATTGCACAGTGTGTATTCCTAGGCAATTCACATCCACAAGATGCACTGACAGCCACCAATTTGGATGGGTTTAAAAGGCAACTGAATGAATGCATGGAGGAGAAGACTACTGACTAATACTAGTCCTTAGGATTATATGCCACCTGCAGTATCAGGGCCAGTATGCTTATGTACACCATGTGCTGGGAACCTGGCTGAGAGGGAGCTGTTGAACTCACAGGCCGTCTGTGGTTTCCCAGGGCCGCTTGCTGGCCACTCTGCAAACGTAACACAGGACTACACGAACCTTTGTTCTGATCCAGACTGACTCTTCTTGTTCTTGCATTCATTCCATTTTCCTGCCTAGAAATCTCCAGAACCTACAAGTCACAGTATCTTGGCAAATTGTGTCAACTACTTCTTTGCTTTGTAATAGCTTTTAAGGGTCATATGGTACAGTGGTGAAGAGCGTGGGACTGGGACTCAGGCAATCTGGATTCTAACCCCTGCTCAGCCATGAGCCAACTTTGGGCCAGTCACAGATTCTTAGCCCAACCTACCTCATGGGTTGCTGTTTTGGAAAGAGGATTGAGAGCAGGAGGAAAAGAATGATGGAGGCTGCTCTGAGTTTTTTAAACAGAAAAACGTAGGATATAAATGTAATTCATTTATTCATTAAGATGTTATTTGAACTTTTGCTTCCTTATCCTATTGGTCATTCTAATATGTTTTTATAAAATGACCACTTAGTGGTACATGGCCTGAAGCAGTGGTGTTATTGGGTAGTAAAATAACACATTAAATATGTTTTTAAGTATGTGAGTATAAGACAAACTAGGAAAGCTATGAAGTAAAATTATTTTCCTATAAAGTAGGATTGAATCGAGACTGGTTATCACTCAAAAGCAATCTAACTGATAACTAAAATCATGTGGCTTTGTACTAATATTTTCATCTTGAAACTGTAAAATTAAGTTAATTTTAATGCAATTCCAATAAGGATTTAACAAAACAACTTATTGCTGGGTCATGCTTGCACTAGTCAGCTCTACATTAGCTCCATTAAAAGGTTTGTTAGGAAAAACTCTGAAGAAAATAATAAAAAAAGGCTTGCACACAATAAACTCCTCACCAAATAGGTAAACAACGGAGTGTGATTATTAGCTATTTTGTTTTGTACTATTTGAATTTGTACACTGGAATTTGCACAATGTATGTAGAAGTTATGTGAGGAGCTGGAGCAGAATATTCCTTACATAATTTGCTTCTACACAAGCTGGGAAAATTGGCAAGGTCCTACGTAGAGAAATCTGTTTCTACATATGATGTTGCACTTTCTGAATCAAGGTGTCTGAGGCACCTGTTCAAAACTATTTGGATAAATTAATTGTCTGAACAAGCACCAGGCTTTACTGGGGTCTATTATATTTGCCTTCTGCATTTCTTGTGTGAACCTGCTGAATATCTGCCATGAAATTGCGGAAGGAGGTAGCATGCTGCAAGTCATTTGGCAGCTTTGCCCGTGATTGATGTCATGACTTCATACTGCGAGCTGTCACTAAAAGGCATGTTTGAGCATGAGGTTAACCTATTATAAGCTTCTCTTCCTCTCCCCATTTAAAGGATACACCTACTTTATGGGATGTGCTTTCCCTCATTTGTAAGACAATAGTACTGCACACTGGAGTATGTAAGTATATAAAGAACCTGGATGATCTTGTTCATTCATTCGTTCATTTATTAGAATGATAACCTGCCTTTTTCTTATAAAGAAATCA